CCCAGTCTCAGTCTTGCCTTGTAATCTGGGGCCTGTGCTCAGAAGTTAGCTCCATCCTCAAAGATCACCCCCTCCCTGCTGCCCTGAAAAGCCTCGTTCAGTTTAACCCTTCACTACCCCTGTCTGTGTATGTCTGTCTGCCTCTCTCTCACTCTCTCTCTCTCTCTCTCTCTCACACACACACACACACACACACGCATGCACACACTCCCTCTAAACTCTAAATAGAAATGAATCATGGAAAAAAAAAAAAGAAATGAGTCATGGGGGTGAGGGTGGCAAGCTGTAAACCTTGATTATAGTTTTCATCCTAAACCCAGAAAGGGGAAGAGTCTGATCCCAGTCCTCCTACACACACACACACACACCTTCCTCCAAGGAAAGAACTTCTGTTCGAAGAAGAGGAACAGAACCTGAAACACTTGTACCTAGTTTTGGCCCAGCCCTCTATTTCTCTTTCTCTCTCTTCTCTCTCTCTCTCTCTCTCTCTCTCTCTCTCTCTCTCTCTCTCTCACACACACACACACACACACACACATCAGGTTTCAAACTACACAACTACACAACAGCCTTCAAATCTGATTCTTATGCAGAAAGCAGACAAGGAGTAGGGGATGGAGGAGTTGGCAGTTGGGATCCACACCTGCCCAGCACTCATATCCTGTCCCTGTCCACCTCCCATGGATCCCTGTGCTCCCTCAGCTTCAACAAACCCCTCATCCTGAGCTCCCTCCCACCCTACCCACCCCCCAACCCCCCAACCCCACCTCTCCAAGCCCATTACTTCCAGGGATAATTATGTGGGTGATTCGCTGGCCCTGAAGAGCTCTTCAGTGGTACTAACTCAGGGTGAGGGAGAAGGAGGGGGGTTGCCCCTGGTTACCACCCTGCTCTACCCCCTTCCTCCCTCACACCAGTGAGGGTGTGATTCAGGGGGAGTCAAGAAAGGAGATGCTATATAAATCCATCTAGTACACAGATACAGGCACTTGCCCCCAAACTTTCATATTTCCATTTCTAGTATTGTCAGGGGAAACTGAGCAAGAGCCTCCCCTTAGGGGAGGTGCAGGTGACCCTCTGGCTGAGAATCTCCAACATTCCCCAGCTGGGCCTGCCTCCTCCACAGCCTCCCTCCCTTCCTTTCTCTGTCCTCTGCCATCCCTCGGACTTTTGCTGATACTGCTCCAAGTTGGTGGGATGAGCCTCTTCACCATTCCACTGCAGGGAGATCCATGGAGAGAGGAGGTTCAGGAGTAGAGTGGAGTGGGGGTACCCAGAAGACCCCTTACAACTTCTGGCCCAAACCCAAATTTTAGGCTTATCTGGTCATGCCCTTGGCAGCTGTTGAGCAGAAGGTAGAATCATGGTCAGTTCACCCATTGCCTACCTTCCCATGCTCGTGGCCTGCACTGGTCTCTCCTCTGGACATCACAGGGTTCTTGGCATCAGGGGGTTCTGACCAAGAGTGGTCAGAGGAAGTGCGAACACTCTGAGTGCCATGAGACAGAGCAGGGGCTGGAGGTCAGGAAGAGGGAAAGACACCTCCTGCCTCCTTCAGAGAAACCCTGAGAAAGAAGCAAACAACCTGGAAGAGAGAAGGAGGGCTCACAGGGACTTGTGGCTAGTTAATCCTCTCCTGAGAGAGAACTGAGCCCAGAGAGGGAAAGGAATTGCCTTAGGTCACACAGAGTCACAGATGAGAGAAGGCTGACACCTGGTTTCTTGACTCCAAAGCAATGGGCTGATTTCAATTTGATGGGAAGATATATACCTCATATATCTCGTATGTGCTTACACACACACACACACACACACACACACAGTACTGCCCACGACATAGAAAGTCTGCATGTATTTGTTCACATAACTGAGTCAGTATCTAAAATTGGCAGTTTGGGGGCTCCTGGGTGGCTCGGTTGCTTAAGTGTCCCTTTGGCTCAGGTTGTGATCCCAGAGTCCTGGGATCAAGCCCTGCTCAGTGGGGAGCCTACTTCTCCCTCTGTCCCTCCCCCTGCTCATGCTCCTGCTCTCTCTCTCTCTCTCTCTCTCTTGCTCTATCAAATATAAATAAACTCTTTAAAAAAACAAATAAAATTGGCAGTTTGTCTGCCTACATGTTTGTGATGTTTGTGGGTATGAGCACTTCTATGCACATGGGGCCAGGTAACACGTGTAGGCAGGTGTGTGCAGGAGGGCAGAGCATGTACCTTTGCCTGTGGATTGAGGAGCAGAGGCCTCCCCAGCCCCACCTGCAGGGGCCACTGTGTCCAGAGCATCTCCCAGGGCTGTCTCCAGGTGCCAGGCTGAGCCTGCTGGGCAGACTCCTACCCTCAAACATGCCCCAACCACTGCTGTTCAGCAGCTTCCTTCCAGAGGACCCTCCCTAGAGGTGGGGCTGCTCTTGCCCACTCCTAAGATGATGGTAGAAACAATTAACTGGCAGAGATGGCTCATACCCAAAGGAAAACATTTCTAGGTATGATATTACAACCTCACCTCAAAAATGGGACTTCACCATGAGGAAATATAGTTTATTAGAAGACACATTTTCTTTTAATTTAATTATATCATTTTTGGCATTTTTTTAAGTGGTATGGAGAGGGGGGAGGGGCTAAGATGTTGAAATCAATCCCTTACATTTCCTTCGTACTCACTGACCACCAGGACCAGGGGCTATAAATGAGAAGACATCTGTGAGAGTTTTGGGAACAGGTCAGACCCACCTCTGTCCATGAGCCCCCTCATAAAACACAGTCACAGAGGAGGTAGTGTCAGGAACCACAGGGCAGAGGAACTGAGAAGAGATGGCTACAGCCACCTTGGGAGACAGCAGGGGGTCTAGGCCTACCTCAGGTGGTCCATCTCACCCACTGACTCAGGCTATGGCATTCTCCTCCTGCCCTCTGCCCGACATGCACACATGCATACAGACTCACACTCACACACACAGTCACCACACACACCCGCACACACTCACACTATGGACGGTCCAGGAAGGCCAGACAGAACTCAAAAGTCAGACCCCAACCCTATAAATAGTCCCAGAAAAAGGAAAATAAGGTTCCTCCACTTAACTGCCAACAGCCCGCTTGCCCTGATCCCCCCAGACTTCAATTTCCCCATCTTTCATGGAGGTGAATTAGATGGTTTATAAGACCCTTTCCAGATTTAACCCTCTCTGCCTTAAGTCACCTGTCCCAGGTGTCCTTCCTCCTGGGCGTCCCCAAGGAGTAAGAAGCAGGCTCTGGTATCCAGCCGTCATGGGCTCCACCATCTCCACCCACCACTTGCTAAGTGTGTGATCTAGGGCAAGTGACCGCCATCTCTCCATGCTACTGTTTCCACATCCATAAGATAGGAAGAGCTACTATCCCATGAAGATGTCAGCCAAATCCTCTGCCTATGGTAAGGGTGGAACTGGAACTTGTGGTCTCTATCACACTCATTAATTCCCCAGAAGAGACTGTGAAAGGCCCATGAATACTCTCCAGGGATGAATCCAGCAAATGCTGGCCAAAAGCAGACAAATTAGCAGGGTTCTCCTCTTTGAGGACCTCATCCTCTCTCCATCCTAGCGCTGGGCATGACCTCTTCCACCCTCAATCCCATGACCACATGACCCCATGACCAACTCAATCACCTCTTCCATTTCCATCCTCCTCCCCAGGTCCAGGGACCACAGGGCAGCCACAGAAACCCAAGTGCTTAGGTCTCCAGCCCAAAGTGCCCGGTGCTACCCAGAAGTGGGGGGTGGCCGGGGGCAGAGGGAGGCAGTGAGACAGCTATGGCAACTGCAAATCTCCCCACTTAGGTACTAATGTAGTAAGTCCTATCAAGACACAGTGAAACAGGGCGTAATTTTTGCAGAAAACAATGCAGGTGATGTATGCCCAGGACTGGCACACAATAAAACTGTAGTGGCACGCAGAAAAAATGCACCCAGTCAATACAATAAAATCAGCACAAATACACCCGTGTAAAGCAAATAAATCTCCCAATCCAAATATTTTACAGCATGCACACCACAAGGAAGAAAGTGGAGAAGTATGTGTATCTGCACCGTTCAAGTTTTTTCCCAGAAATCTCTAGGGGAAATAAACAAAATGACCAGTGAGCCCCCTTACCCAGACCACCCTCCAAAATACACACACACACTCACACACACACACACACACACACACACAGGGCTGGTTTGCATTTCTGGCCTCAGACCGTTGTGGTCTGGCACAGCGACTGGGGGCTGGAGGCCCCCAAATTACCATTCATCTGGCCTTGTTGTGGAAATTTTCAAGGGATTTGCAGTAATTATATGACAAAATGCTTGCAAATCTCACTCATTGCTGAACAGAAACAGGCGGGTCAGGGATTGAACACTTTCAGCTGGGTAATTTGTAAATGTCAATCAGGCACCGGGGCAGAGAGAGAGAGAGAGAGAGAGAGAGAGACACACACACACACACACACACAGGAAAAAACAGAAAAATACTGTAGCAACCTCAGTGTAGGAGGCCTCTTCATCCTCCAGAACCCAGGGCTGGAAAGGCTCAGGCCAGAGGCAAGGCAGGAGGAAGAAGAGAGGGAGGCAGGGAGAGAAAGACAGGGGAGGGGAAGAGGGGGAAGAGAGGGAGGAGGGGGAGGAGGGAGGGGGAGGACAAAGGGGAGGAAGAGGGGGGAGAAGGGGAAAGAAGAGGAGGAGGGAGAAGGGGGGAGGGGGAAGGGGAGGAGGAGGAAAGGGAGCCCAGAATCAGCCACAGAAAAGAGGCTGGGATGAGAGGGGAGGAGGGGTTGTGGATGGAGAATGAAGAGAGTGAATCAGGAAAACAGTTTAAATAAGACCAGGCAAGATTAAATTAACTGATACATACATTCTAAGAGGTAGGTCGCGGGAGCAGCCATAAATACCAGCTCCCTATCTCCCCTGCTCAAGACAGCAGGGAGAGCAAAATAAAATTAAAAGATATAACAATAAAAATTACAAATGCATCTTGAGGGCTGTGTACCTGAGGTCTGTAATGGAGGCACCGAGTAGGCTGGGGGCACAGCTCTCGCTCACAGCTGTGGGAGCTTCAAAGTGGGAGCAGGAGGGGTGGGGGGCCGCGGAGAGGGTGGATCAGTTCATTTTCCATTTGGCTGGTCGTTCTGTGTCTCCTATTTCATCCAACAGAAGTGCAGAGTGTCCCCTGGCATGTGTGTGAAGAATTCAAAGGGTGATGGTTACCACATGACCACAGATCTGGTGCTTTATAATTTATAAGATTTTTCCTGGTCACCATCACCCCCTGAGTGAGCTGGCTTCTATTCCACTCATTTTACAGGTGAGGAAACCGAAGCTTGGAGAGGCCATGAGTTGGCTCAAGATGACTCACTAGTTAGCAGGTAGAGCAAGGATTCGAACCCAGGCCCCCTGACTCCACACCCTTTCCACCACTGCCCTCCAAGGGCTTATTCCCATCAGTTTCATCCAAGAAACTGAACACACTTTCTGAGCACATGCACATCCCAATACGGACATGCCCCCTGAGTGGTGAACCAGATAGGTATGAACAGAAGCAGGATTGTCCACCTCAACAGATTGCAAAGATCTTCCTTAGCATCCAAAAGTTACTCAACACCACACCAGCCACGTGCATTCACAAGAACACTAGTGGTTCTACTTATAAACATCTGTAAGTTGAGAAAGTGCCTAATAGCTCAAAGCTATAACAAACCCAGGCACACTTTTAAAGGAATTATAGGGATGCCTGGGTGGCTCAGTGGTTAAGTGTCTGCCTTCAGCTCAGGGCGTGATCCTGGAGTCCCAGGATCGAGTCCCGCATCGGGCTCCCTGCATGGAGCCTGCTTCTCCCTCTGCCTATATCTCTGCCTCTCTCTGTGTCTCTCATGAATAAATAAAATCTTAAAAAAATAATTTTAATTTTACTCATCACCATATTCTTGGGGGAAAAAATTTAAACACAGAGATAAACAAGACAGAGTCTCTGTTGGCAGCAATAGTAGGCACACGTGAGGATCAGAAGACCCCTTTGCAAGGACTCCAGGGCAACTTCCCACACTGAGGCCCTCAGCCCAAGGGTCCAGGCCTCTGAGGGCCTTTGGGTCAGGAAGTTATGGGTTGGCAAGGTCAGCCTAGGAAGACTCCCAGAGGGAGAGGGAAGATCTGCCCTGAGGAAGGGCAGGGAAGGAAAGCAGTGTGGCAGCACCAAAGCTGGTGGGGGCAAGAGGTGGGAGGGAACAGAGCAGGATGGCCACAGCACTCTGGCCCCATAGCCACCAGAGGTCTCAACTTAAACCTTTGTCATGATCTCTAAATGGGGTCATGTTGGCAGCCACAGGGACTCCCCAAAGGTTGAAAGAAGGTGTTATCTCTTATAGCTTTAACCTGAAGTCTCACCTGGCCCTCACAGCCAGGAGTGTACCATTCATGCATCAGGGGAGCAGCAAAGACCCTGGAGCTCCTACTATGTGCCAAGCACTGCTCTATGAGCTAGAGCTACAGCATGGAATGAACCAGGGGACAGAAAGCCTGATGTCATGGTTGTCGATCCTACCTTCATAATTTTCTCAGTCTTGACATGACTTTGTGAGAGGCACAATTACATGCATCGTCTTTTGTGAGTTAAAAGTGTTAATTTGGGGATTCCCTGGGTGGCGCATCGGTTTGGCGCCTGCCTTTGGCACAGGGCGCAATCCTGGAGACCCGGGATCGAATCCCACGTCAGGCTCCCGGTGCATGGAGCCTGCTTCTGTCTCTGCCTCTCTCTCTCTCTCTCTCTCTCTCTCTCTCTATCTGTGTGACTATCATAAATAAATAAAAATTTTTAAAAAAGTATTAATTTGTGGAATGTAAATCAGATGACACTTTTGCAACCATGTTTGGCATTTCTTTGTTTTTAAATGTATTGGAACCTCAGAAATAGAAAAGGCCTACAGGCCCCCAGGAGAGTCTGAGCAGGGCCAGGGACCAGGACCTGATTAAAGTCATCCATCTAACAAAAAGTAGCTGCTGCCCTCCTAGATGCCAGAGGCTCCCAGGGTGACAGAGACACGAGGGGAGGGTACTGGTACCCAGCCTCATCTCCACCCACAGCTGACCCACCTCTTCTTCTGCCCTCCCACCTCACCTCTTCCCTCAACCAAAATCACAGCTCAGTAATTAAAAGCCCCTGCTCTGATTGTCCTCCAGACTATTTGCTCTTCCTACCCACCTCCTCTCAACAAAAAGAGATTTCCTGGAGAGAAAAGGCATCAGGAAAACTTGCAAATAATCCACTGAGTTTTGACTCCAGAGACGTGGTCCCTACAAACTACAAACTACCTGCCCCTCTCCACCCCAGCCAACATTGCCCTGAGCTAATGCTCTAATCTCATTGTGCTTCAGCTGCCTCATCTGTAAAATGGAAATAAATACTAGTAGCTAGTCTAGCAGGGCCACTGTGAAGATTCCAGGGCAGAAGGCAGAGGCTCCATATTGTTGACTATTATGATGATACTCTCCCTCTGAGGCTCCTAACAGGTTGTACAAGTTGGGGGGAGGAGGGAAATTGGGAGCTAAGCCAAAGTAGGAAGTTGTTGCTGAGTCAGCAGAGATCAGGAGAAAGAGGCCTACGCTGGGAGTTAAGGAGACAGGGTCTGCCGTTCCTAAGTTTGTAACAGCCTAGCCTCAGTTTCCCCATTTATAAAATGGGAAGGTTGGCCAGCTGGGCTGGGAATGTCTCTGATTCTAGGAATCAGCGTTGGAGAGAACTAGAGGACCCAAGCCAGATGCAGTCCATGAACAAAGGTAGGGTAACTGTGGACAGGGCTCTGTCAGGCAGGTTCTCTTTGAAATCCCAGGCCCCAGAAGAGAAACTAAGCCAAGATCACTTCACAGACTCATCACCATCACCAGGAGCCAGCAAAAGCCATAAGCCTGGGCAGGGGAGGAGAAGGGAGGAGAAGGGAGGGGGGGAGGGGGAAGGGGAGAGAAGGGGAGGGGAGGCGAGGCAAGGGGAGGAGGAGGGTGGCACCCTACCTGCTGGCCTGCCATCTTGTAATCAGGTACCTACTCCTTGTCATTAGCTCCACCCTCAGCTGAATTTAATGAATCTGAGAAAAATTATGAAGTCCCATAAAGCCACAAGTATCATAAAAAGTATAATAAAATTGAGAAAAGCTATTAAGTTATAAATACAACCAATGCATGCAACATCACTCAGTCGGGGAGGAAGTCGCTATAAAATAAAGTCATTCCACAAGTGACTAAATCTCCTAATTCACAAGGCACACGCTCCCCTTTACCAAGCCCAACCAAAATGAGAGACGCGGGACCGAGGCGAGGCCGAGCGACCCCCTGCCCTGGCGGGAGGCCAGCGAAGCCGGAAGCGCTAAGGCGCCCGCACTACGCGGGGGGCCGGCGGGGGGGGCATCTCTAGGTCCCAAATCTAGATCCCGACTTTGCCAAGCAGCCAAGGTGAAAGGAAACGCAGATTTGGAAAAGAAACAGCGCGGGGGGCGGTAGGGGCGTTGGTGCTTTCGCCTGGGGGCTCCGCGGAGCGCTGGAAGCGGGCCGGGCCCTGACCCCATCCACCCTCCGCGCTCCGCCCCCTCGGGAGCCGGCGCAGCGCTGTGGGTCGCCCGAGACCGCCCCAACCCCCGCCCACCGCCTGCACCCCGGGCTCCCCCCCGCCGGGAGACCCCCCGCGCTATGAATATTCATGGCGGTAATTAGAGAGCGCGTCCGGCGCCCGTCACGGTGATTGTGCGTCCAATAAAAACAAACACGCTAATGAGGAGCTTTCCCGCCGGGCGGGAGGGGCGGCCCCGAGCGCTGCGCTCGCCGCCCCGGAGCCGAGGAGGAGGACCGGGTGCCAGCGAGGGACCGAGCGGCCCCTGCGAGGGGGTCGGGGGGGCGGAGAAGCGCGAGCGGCAAAGTCCCCCAGGCGGCGGAGCGCCTCTGATGGAGGAGCCGCCGGCCGGCGGGACGCGGGCTGGTTTCGCACCGCGCAGAGAGCGGGCCGCTGTCACCCTCGCGGAGGGGGTCTGGGCATGGAGCAAGGCTTCCTGAGACACCGGGCAGAGCAGGCACACGGGCCCCACCCCAGGCGGAGACGCATTCCGCGCGGATGGCTCCCAAAGACCTGGCATCTTCAGAGATTTCTGAGGATAGCCCAGGGCCTTGGGCGCCCAGACTCCACTCCTGGGAAGGGTGGCGAGGGAAGCCAAGGTGACAGGCAGGATGTAGAAGCAGGAGGGATTTAAAGTCGACCCTTTGACCTGCTGAGTGCCCCAAACTACTTCTGTGGAAAAGTGGGGTTTAGTGGGGAGCAGTAGTCAGAATCTGCACACTATCCAAGGAATGATCCAGGCATCCCTGCAGGTCACTGCCACTCTACCAGCTGAGCGAGCTGATGCAGCAGAGGTCAAGGAACTGTACGCGATCACCCTCCCGCAAGGAGGTTCCACTGGGCCTGCTTGGCTCATCTGCGGAGCTATTGAAATGCGTCGGGGAGCCAGGGCAGAGCCGGGCTGTGGGAGGCGCTTCTCGATGAGTGGCTGCCTGGGATGCTTGGGAAGGAAGGCGAGAAGCCCATTACTCTGTGCTCCCCTTAGCCATGGGCCCACCCTCACCTAAACCCGGCATGCACAGTAAGTGCCCACTGATGTTTGTTCAGGGGATGAAAGAAGGAAACCACTGGAGGAAGGGCACTTGATGCAGAAGACGGGAGAGTAAAGGAAAGATCTAGAAGAGAGATGAGGTGGGAGACTGTGAGGCCTACAACAGTGACTCTCAAATCCAGCAAGGTTAAAATATAGATTTCTTGGGGGGCACCTGGATGGTTCAGTGATTGAGCAGCTGCCTTTGGCTCAGGTGGTGATCCGGGGGTCCTGGGATGGAGTCCCACATAAGACTCCCCACAGGGAGCCTGCTTCTCCCTCTGCATATGTCTCTGCCTCTCTCTGTGTGTCTCTCATGAATAAAATCTTTTAAAAAATATATGGATTTCTTATGTTCCTGCATACAGGATTTTATGTACAGAATTTTCACAGCATTATTATGAGAGCCCAAAACCGGAAACAACCGAAAAGTCCATGAAGCCGTGAATGGATAAACAAAATGTGGCCTATCCATGCAATAGACTGCTATTTGCAATCCAAAGGGCTAAACTATTGGTGCGCACTACAACATGGATGAACCTTGAAC